CTCTCTCTCTCTCCTAGAAATAAATAAAACATTAAAAAAAAAAAAAAAAAAAAAAAACAATGATGTATTGTGAAGAAGAAGAGGAAGGATATTGCATTTTCTGTCTGTTTGATAAAAGGGCCCAGAAGAAAGTCTAGAGGAAATTCAATAAATGTTAGCAGTGATTGTGTCAGAGTAAGGGAATTACAGCTTCTTTCTCTCCTCCATCTCTTCATTCTTGAAATTTTCTGTAACCTTTGTTTTTAAGGGCAGTTCTCAAAGGGCTGTGAAACTCCCGAAGCCCTGGGGCTAAAATCAGCCTGGGTCCGGCCTCCGACTGTCCCAGCTAGCAGCCCGTCCCGAGGTCATCTCCCTGCCCCAAGAGCCTCACTTTCTTCATCTCAAGGACGGAGATGATTATGTCTGCCTGGGCTGCCTGGTAGATCAAAGGAAATCATGCTTGAAAGTACTTTGTAAGCTGTGGTGTTTTAAACAAACCACAGGAGCCCCGCCCTTGGGATTGTCTTGCTCCCAGCCCGCTGCCCCCGTCCATCCCCATCACCGCCGCCCCCACCTAGGCCCTCACCCTCGCCCTCACCCTCGCCCTCGCCCTCGCCCTCTCTGTGGAGAGGAGAAGGGTGGAGCTCCTCTGGGTTTTTTAAAAGGTCAGCATCAACTATACGAAAATTTTTAAAAATGTATTTTTAAAAAAAAGGTCAGCACCTGGTCATAGGCTGGGCACATGGGCCGTGTGTGATTCTGATTTCATTCTTGTGACTAATTCTGGGCATTTTTTTTTCTTTGGTACCTCCTTTGACCCCCCGGGTTCTTTCTCAGGGCACAGTGTGGGAACCCAGGGCCTGGTGGGGTGATGAGTGATCTGGAGAGTTCAGAAGAATGGCAGAGCTGGCAAAGCTGTACTTGGTGATATGACTCAACCCATGTCACCCTCCATGTCACTCTGGGAGTAAAGGGAGGGCTCTGGACTCCTGTGAGGACATCTCAGGTGGCAGAGTTTATCAAACCTAAATCCCTCCCTTACCTGGGCTGAGTGGCGGGCAGGAAGCTCCCTGCCACCCCTGCTGGGCATCGAGCCCTCCAGCTTCAGTTCAATGGGGCAAATGACGGAGACACCCACAGCCAAAAGGCCAGGGAATGCTTGGTAAGTGAGAGGAAAAGACGCAAAGATGTGAAATCACTCTTTGTCTTCATTATCATCAAAGTCAAAAAGTGTTTATAGGGTCTGTAATGAATTACATCTTCCATGAGAGTGGACTCGGCCTGAGATTCACATTTACTACATATAGTAGCTTAGAGCTAGAAACCCATTTTCTCCATTCTAAGAAGACGACACTGAGGATCAGAGGTGAAAGTCACTTGCTTAAGGTAATAATAACACCGCTTCGGTCTCTGTAATGCATCACACATTTTTTAAAAGCACATACACATGATTTCATCAATTCTCATCACCCCG